CCCCAAAACCCCAAAACCCCATGATGAGATCATAGTTATTAATAATGAATAATTAAAATCTAAATTCAGAAAACAATTATGGAATTAATGTCATAAATAAATGTCTAAAATTAAATAAATCAATTAATATTTATCAATGTGTAGTAGAAAAATTTAAAAGCAACTCAATCTCAAAACTACTCAAATAAGAGCTTTGAAATCAATGATTATCTTTTGCAGTTTGTTTTAAATGATCACTCATTAAACTTAATAGTCAATATTGCATGGAAGTTTGATCAGTAAAAGGTAGGTTGAATAATAATCAGAGAATGAGGTTCAAATATAAGAAAGTTCAGAATAAAAATGAAGAAAATTAGGGCCACCAATTTGTAGTCTTGATGATTTTCATGTTTAAAATTATGATGTAGCAGGACTTAAGTATTGCTCTGAATCCAGTAAACCTCCAATCCAATATTTTGGAATGTACATTTATTTGAAACCTAGGAACCCAAATAATGTTGAATGCAATATTTTTCCTGCATTGACCTATAGCCGTGAATGCAGATACGATAATAATGGTGGCTCATGTGGCGATGTCGAATAATAGTTTGATACTAATACAGGAATATTAACCCTAAATCAATACTATATTAGGCCAATGGAGTTCAGGATTAAAGCTTTTTACAACTCAGAATAAAAATCATAGACAAATAAATTTGTAATAAATATCCAAACTTTTTCTGGCTGTTTAGCTGGCACAACCACACCTTCAGCAATGATAAATTTGCCTTGCTCTGAAGGATTAACTTTAGTACCATAAATACAATAACCCGTTTTAAATCAATATTATACTGCTTAGAGTGGGGGTTAAGTATCTTTAAATGATTTTTAATGGTCTGATGGGCTTAATAACTCCATCTGCAATAGAAAGATTTTACTTTAAGAAGGTAGTCTTCTAACTATGAGCTTTGCATCTCCAAGATATTCATTCACGTTCAATAATATAGGTGCAGTATTACAGCCAATATAATATACTGAGGTAATTTAAGCTTTTGTAGATGGATTTTATATAAACTCTTGGACTTATTATATAACAGTGGTAGATCCAGTGATTTTAACTCCAGCACCTGTAATAATAAATCAACCTATTACAATAAATTACAATTCGGCTCCTTATTTTTCTGAAAATATATAAAATCTGAATATATTAGCCTTTTAGCCCTTTGAATTTTAGCTACCTTAATTAAAAGATGATTAAGATGATGAAATTAGTGTGTAAATTCTTGATTCACTAAGTTTTATAAACTTCAATTAAAATTTGAAAAAAATAGTCTTTACTCCATCAAATTCCAATGTTGGAACATATTAGTTCAGAATTCAACTTAAAGATGATAATATAATACCATTAAAAAATATGTACAACATGGAAGTAAAGGTAATATTTAATCATTATTATGTAAATTAATCGTAAAATACTCAAGACCATAGCCAAATTTACTAAAATGAACAATTTAATCGGAGTAAGAATAATTTTCAAAAGTAAATATCTGTAAGTTTGTAGTAAATAAACTAATAAGGCCTGGCCAAAGTTAAATTTTCCTAAACTATGAGAATTCTTTCAAATTATAGTCATTATGAAGATCCTTTCATCATGAAACTTGAATTAAAACCTAATATCTATTAAAATAGCAATAACACAGATTTCACGTATAAAATAAAAAGTTTTAAAGTTAATGTTTTATTGATATAATTGACTTTCAAAGATCCATTAGCGATTTCCTTTAGAGAATACAACCACCTATAGATAACATTTTTGAGTTAAGAAAGTTTTAAATCTCTTGAAGGAAATGAATTTGTAAATTATGGTAGTACCACAAGTAAATTTGTTCCTCGTCAACTAGGAAAAGACTGTAAAGCATTAATTAATTTTACACTTCTTTTAGACTTTTCACAGCTTATTGATTCTTAATCAGGTACATTATAAGCATCCTTATATGCTATAACGTTGAGCAACTTCTTTATAAATGTAGTTCTGTATTTATTATATTTCATTAGATTAATTTAGATCAGCTACATTTCAATATCTTTGGGGATTGATTAATGCCTAACAGATAATTTTACACTTGCCTTTACTGTAGATTGATATGCCTGCAAATATGAAATGCTTATTTTTTATAATATTCGAAGTAACTAATTTCAGTATTGTACCCTCGGATTTGATTATATAAACTATTCTTGGTTAAACAGATGATTAGCCTTATTCTATTAGTTTTGAAGAATATGATATCTTTTGGAGAATAAAATTAATAGTCTAGATATTCCTATCCTTGATCAAGTTATGGTTCTTAGTTTATTATTTCGAATATGAGCTTTATTTTCTTGTACTCAATATTGCTATTGATAATGTATGCAGGATATTTTTTGGCTTGATAGTTCTTATTGAAAAAGCATAGGATGTAAGGATTAATTTAAAAAATGTAATTTCCTAAGAATAGAGAGAATAGTCTTCGTGCTTGAAAAATTTTTAATTTATAGTATGGCCATCAGATTTTACATGGAAGGTTATCTTGAAATTTGCATCAATTCTATAATTAATCTAACCTATGTAAGCTTTAAAGTCATTTATGAATAACTTTAGATAAATTTTACAAAATTCAACCAGGGGTTTTCTTCATTGATCTCTTTGCTTTGTTCATGCCTCTCAATACTTAGCCCTTTTCTGTTAATCAGATTTTTACATACCTAATAGAAAAATATCGGCACGATTAAATTCAACAAGAAATTTGAATCTATTTATGAAAACTTGAAAATCTCAAACCCAGTTGCAAGACTCTTTAACTCTTTCTTTCTTATCAGGAGACTGCTATACTCCTTTGTGATTGTTACTTTGATTGATTTCCCCTATCTTCAACTTTAGCTTTAAATTTGCTAATGCTATGTGATAATATATCTTATAATGAGATACTAACCTTACATTATAAGGAGTATTCAATATCTTGAGATATTCAATGAATGCTGCATTCTAATTATAAGTTACTAGCTTTTGCTTTTTACGAATTTTCTTCAATCAGACAGTCCTGAATTTTAGTATTAAATTGGCTGGTTTTCAGTATTCATTACATTATTTAATGTACTAGTTAATACAATTTACATGACCTATTAGTCAATCCTAACACTTTCATTAGCTATTCTACTGTTATTGTCAAGAGTAAATTTATTAAGGAGCTAGAATTATAGTTAGAAATAAATAATTCTTTTGAACAAGGAGCAATTTAATTTAAGTAATAAATAAATTTAACCTGATTAAATAAATGCCAGAAATGATTAATCATCCAGTGAATTATAAAGAAATAATTTAGATTTACACTTTAGTATTGCTCAAAAGAAAAGAGATAAAATGATCTAAAATACATTTTTCAGTCAACTTGGATTTTAAAATGATGATGAAAATATCATAGATTATACTATAGAAAACAGTAGAATTAATTCATTTAAAAAAAGTTATACAGCAGTAGATTTTAATGGTTCAGGAACCTTACTACATTTATAATCTTAGAATTCAAATCATTCATTAATTCAAATTTTATAAACTATTGAAATAGACGGTATCTCATTTGACTAAACTTTAGATCAAGATAATTATGCTAGTTTTGGGAATTAAGGAGATGATGTAGCATTTGATAGTTTAAAAAAGCAAAAGAGACTAGATTTTAATTAGGAGAATTATACAACAAAGAAATGGCTAAATATCAAGCAATAAAGTTTATGAGATGATGATGTTTGATAAGGCAGAAAGAGCTTAGATTTAAATTATCTAAATAATGAACATATCATAAATGAGAAATGATTAATTAATTTTAAATTCTTGCGATTTTCATATCTTTGCTCTTGTTTCATTTGGAGAATAATCTGATC